TCAATGTGTCTCTCAACCTTAATGGTGTCCGCCACACCATATGGTGTGTTTTTATATTTTCTAATTTCCAACATGGGTGGACATGTCCTCCCATGGGGTACCATTTGTTCTAGCACAGGGCACCTTGCAGCAATAATCTACTTTGCTAGACTACCTTCTATTTATCCTCGAATCAATTTGAGATGGAAAAACAATTTAAGAAAGCTTTACAATGGTAGATTTGGATGTATTGAAATTAGTATGTTCATTGATTAATGGAAGCACTAAATTGCGAGTGCTCATATAGGGGCCAAACACCAGAAAGCTTGATTCTAAACTTCGAATATGATTTACCCATATAATAGCTCAAGTAAGAAACTCCTCCACAAGATTCTTTTACAAGTGAACGGTTGTGGTCATTGACTCCTTGACATGTCAATTACATGGTAAAACCTAATTGTAAATTTGAAAACAGAGAGATATATTAATATCAAAATATTTATGTGTCAGCATAATGTGAGAAAAACTAAATAGACTTAATGTTGATTTTTTATTTTTGGGTATCTGCTACGTGCACGTTTTGATAGATAATGAATACTATTTTATCAACTCTAGTAATACACAGTACAACCTGAAGTTATCTTAATGCAACAAAGTCACTCAAATTCAGAAATGATGCCAAAACAATGTATTAATCTTACTAAAAGGTAAAAGAATTATTAAAGTAAGTATATAAAATAAAACTGTATGATTTTAAAGAATTTCATAAATTTGTTTATTGTCCTCCTTGAAAATTTGTGTTTGTATTCGTGCTTCATGGCTGAAATGTTTTTCTTCCTTGTACTATCAAATCTACCTACAGGCATATCTATCGACTTTAATATAGTATGGGGTGCGAAAGGCGCCACCAATGTACTGTGAAAAGGACAAGCTACATAACTCAGATGAAGTTTACCAGCTTTATGAGTGTAATTACATATTCATTCTTTTTAAAGTTGATTGATAACTAGCTCCTTTCGACTCTCTCACCGATGATTTTTCAGTTGTATTGGAATGTTTTCTATTTACATCATTACATCATTTATTTTTATCACTTTAATCAGAGATTGCATGTCTCATATTTGAACTCTGGCCTTGTTTATTTCCTTCAAGAAGGATTCAGATGAGGTAGAATGTTTGGACTTGCTGCTTCTACAAAAGAAGCAGCTTATTTCAATCGTATGATGTACTGCCTAAAGAGCCATTGAGTTCTCTTTTGGCTTTTAAGCTTAGCCATCCAACTCGTGAAGTATCAGTTACTTCCCAAATGACCAAAAGAAAGAAAAAACTGCCGCCAAATGAAACTACTCAGCTTCCTATTTGTGAATTGTGATGTGGGTTGATTCTCTTCTCGTGTTGATTTTTGTCCAGTAGGATTTCTACTTTTGATCATGCCTTCCTTTCATTTGATATTTCAGCCTTCATGGAGAAATGCTTAGCTTCACTAGAAATTGGAGTTTCTGCATTCTAATGCACTCGTCTGGATAGAAGATTGTCAATATTCTTGTCTAGAAGATTAAACTATTTGGAGAGCACATTTATTTGAATTGTGTCTTAAACACATTCCCCTACCCTATGGGCTGGATTTATTTTTTCACGAGAGGTAACACGTGCTCAATTTCTATAAATGGGTGGCGGCGAGTTTCCAATACAGGATCTTTCGTGATACATCTTTACCAACTCCTCTAAAAGCTTTAGTTATTAGAAAAGGGATACATTTTTTTTCATATGAATTATATCTTCATCCTCTCCACCTGCCTCCTGAATTCGTTTTTTGGTAGAATAGGTGACGGCTAGATTTGAAATAATGTTTCTCTGCATTATCAACTAAAATGAATAATAATGTTTTTTCCCTTTGTAAAATTTTGCAGCAAGAAGAAACAAAAATCCCAGGAGATTCAAGATGTATGTGCAGAATTTGTCATTATTTTTACTTGTCAAAAGAAAGAATTTGTCATTATTTTGCCTCTTGCTCATAGGAGAAAATATTATAAAAATGATGTCTCAGTTGTATTATTTGAACAGTTTCATTACAAAGAAATACAAAAACTATTAGGGCATATTTGGTTTGTGTTTCAATTTTCAATTTTGAGTTTTGAGTTCATTTTTCGATTTCTATTTCGAGGGTTTGTTTTAAGATTTCTAAAAACGTGTTTGGTTTGTTATTTTGAAAAATATTTCTCAACACAGAAAATTAGAAAATATGTTTCGTTTGAAATTTTGAAAAATTATTTTATGACATTTTATTTTATGAAATTTGATTATTCAATAAAAATAAAAGAATTTTATATTAATATACCATCATGTAATGTTACATTTTAAAATTGGTGAATCTTATAATATTTTTTCTCTCTACAAAAATAAAAAATAATAATAATAAATTTATTTTAAAATATATGAAATAAGAAAATTTTATTAAATAGTTTTTCAATTTATTTTCTGTGATTTTTATTTGTTTGTTAATATTTAGATTTATTTGTTAGAAATTTATATTTATATATTTGAAAATTTTAATTTTCAAAATTTATTTAAAATAAGTCTTATTTTAACGCTTGTTCTCATTGTTTTGAGTGTTTTTAAAATTTTCACGGAAAACATTCAAAAACATCAAAAATGCGTGTTGAGCTTTATGTTATAAGTGTATCGTTGTTTTCAAAAATGGATTAAAGCATCTCTACAAAAAACCTCTTTAAATATGAAATACACTCTATTTTAAAAAAGTCTACCCTTGAAATCATGTTCCAACAGGCTTCTTAAATTAATATTTTAATTTAAAAAGTGGGTTTAGATCTCTAAATTAATGCAATCAATGTGTTTCATTTTTCAATGTAGAAAAATAACAAAATAATTTGAAAAAAATAGTTAAAATAATAGATAGAAAAAAATAATAAATATTTTTTGGGAGCAATAAAATTAAGCCCCCGTTTGGCTTTCATTATTTCTCATTAAATTAAATTAAATTAAATTTTTCTCTCTCCTATTTTTAACCACATAATTTTCAATAAAATAATATTACACGTAAATAAAAAAACTTAACTTTTCTTTTCTTTTCAACCACTTATTTTTCAAAAAATCACTATTTAAAATATTATAATCTCCAAATAATCGGGCTCAAACGGGGGCTAAATTTTCAATATAAAAACTTGTTGGGATACTTTAAAATTTTAATTCTCTAAATTTATAGATACTCTCCAAATGAAATAATATGTTCTTTAAAAATAAAAAATCTTTTGGAAATGCTCTTATTAGACTAAAAGTGTTTTCAGAGTTTTGCAAAATATTGAAAACGACTTGAAAACAGCAAATCAAACATTAAGAAATATTGAAAACATGTTTGATCAATTATTTATGAAAATACATTTTCGAAAATAAGGTTAAATTTATAACATAAAATTTAAAATGCATTTTTAACGTTTTCAGTGTTTTCGGTGAAATTCTGAAAATACTCAAATCATGGAAAAAAACGTTTAATAATTTTTTTTAAAAATTAAAAATATATATATATAATTCTACCAAATAAATTTTAAAAATTATAAAAAAAATTAAAATTTAAAAAAAAATTGATAAATTCTAAAAAAGAAATTGAAAAAATAAAAAAAAATTTAAATTTAAAAAAAAAGATAATAAAAATTTCTAGAAAAATAAAAATAGTTCTAACTTTTAACAATTATTTACATAAAATTTTTAAAAAATATTTAAATGAACTCAAACAAAAATATTTGAAGTCCATGCGTTAATTTTTATTTTTTATTTTCTAAAAAAATTTAAATTTAAAAAAAAGATAATAAAAATTTCTAGAAAAATAAAAATAGTTCTAACTCTTAACAATTATTTACATAAAATTTTTAAAAAATATTTAAATGAACTCAAACAAAAATATTTGAAGTCCATGCGTTAATTTTTATTTTTTATTTTCTATATTTTGAAATTAATTTATTTTTATTTCTTTAATTTTTTAGTGATAAAAAAATATTATAAGATTCACCAACTTTAAAATGTATATAATACTTGATAATATATTAACTTAAAATTATTTTGTATTTGCTGAATAATCAAATTGGAAATGGAATAACATGTGATAAAAGAATATTTCAAAATTTCAAACTAAATGTGTTTTTTAGTTTTCTATTTTTGAAAATAATTTCTCAAAATGACAAATAAAATGCATTTTTTGATATTTTAAAACAAACCTTCAAAACAAAAAACGCAAAATAAATGTAAAATTCAAAATTGAAAATCAAAACACAAACCAAACGAGCCCTTAACTTTTCATAATCTTCCTGTTTCTCATTAGCCATGTTTAATTGTTTCTACTTAATTTAGTTGGAGTACAATTATAATCCATTATGATCAGTCGAGGCTACAAAATCATAGCTAAGTTACAGCTCCAATGTTTATTCGATATGTAACATTGACCATGACTAAACAATATAATGAAAGAAATATTTCACATTTCTTCACTAATATTGTTAAAAGCCATTAAATGCATATTTGGAGCTAAGCTTGATTCTTAATTAAAGGACTTCTTTTTCTTGCTTTCTAGGTTTCGGAATAGAATTTGGAGTTTGTCGTTTTTTCTTAGTGATTTCGAATAGAACAAATATTCAAATGTAAGAGAATGGATAGGTATTTTGATTTCTAATATATTAGCGATGGTATATTCCTTTTATTTTATTAGAGGGGTTTATCTTGATTGAATACATAAATTTTTTCTCGAGATTTCTGAATTCGAAACAAGAGCGAGTTTTTGATACTAATTAAATTCAATCAATAGGACTGTTAATGGGCAGGACAAACAGTCTAGCTGAGGTAAGTAATGACACACAATCAATAAGAGGCAACAGTCAAGACAGAGCCTCTGACGAAGAGTAGTCGAGCTTTCTCTCTCACGCTTCACGATAAGTCATAGATAGTAGAGTCCGACACGCACTCAATCTAAAGCAAACTTTTATGATCACTAGTTAAAACTATATGTCATATAAAGCCCTCCAATTCTTTTAGATTACAATAATCTTAAGCAAACTTTTGCAATCACAAGTTAAACTATGTCAAATTGTCATAATAAACACTCCAATTCGTTCATAATCTGATCAGCAAAATACTTAAGCCAACCTTATTTCAACATCAACACAGCGTCCCCTACACGACATTTTTCGTCATTGGACTTTGTCTTTTAAAAAAAAAAAACATAGACAACCAATAACGTCCACCCAACTTGACTAATTATTATCTTTTCAAGGCATATTCTAAAAAATACAAACTTGTGGTATTTGGTTGGGACTGGTTGAATATAAATGTGTACTTTTATATTGTAGTTGATCAATTCAAATGACTAGAAATATTTGTCAATTATGAACGTATTCCCACTATGAATAGGCGGTGCCACCAAACCAGACTAAATAATCATCAATTTTGATGACTTTTATTATTGACATTGAGCATGTCGTCCCGTGAAGGCAAAGATAAGTGGGATAGATGACTTCCTAACTAAAATTAAATTTTTCCTACCTGCCACCATTCATGTTTATGCCTGGCCGTGTCAAACAGTTACGAATCTCCAAAGTCTAAACACCCACAAGACCCGTACATTTTTTTTTTTTAGAGATTTCGACCTAACCCATGTAGGAAAATTACCGAAGGGACGACTTCAAGCAAGCACGATAATGAAAAAATTGATCGAGTATGCAAGACAAAGATCTAAAGAGTTAGCCTGATGTGTCTTGCTAGGCGGACAGCGTGCTTCACAAGGGCTTTACAGATCACACAAAATGAGGGGTTGGGTAGGTTAATTTTTGACCATTTTTTATTCAGGTGTGGCCCATCATTCATGAGCTATCTGGCAAGGTTCTGTGAACCCAGCTTCTGTATGGGAGGAAAAACTGT